ATTCTATTCTATTCTATTCTATTCTATTCTATTCTATTCTATTCTATTCTATTCTATTCTATTCTATTCTATTTTTTCTTATAAACATGCATGTGGAAAACCAGGAAGTATCTTCAAGACAAACCAGATCTACAGTACAGATAGGCCTTGATTTAGAATTGTCTTTTTAGTGACCATTTAAAGTTACAATGGCACTGAAAAAAGTGATTTATGACCATTTCTCATACAGCCATTGCAGCAACCCCACGATCACAGGTGCAAAATTCAGACTCTTGGCAATTGGCTCGAATTTATGATGGCTGCAGTGTCCTGGGGTCAGGTGATCTCCTTTTGTGACCTTCTGACAAGCAAAGTCAATGAAGAAGCCAGGTTCAACTTAACAACCACAGTGATTCACTTAACAACTGTGGCAAGAAAGCTCATAAAATGGGGCAAAATTCACTTAAAAACTGTCTTGCTTAGCAATGGAAATTTTGGGCTCAATTATGGTCATAAATCAAGGACTACCTGTAATTGCTCCAATATGGAATGTTTCTATCTCTAGTGCCAGCAAGTCAGTCAAGTCTTCCCTTGTCCATATTTTCTTACAACCTGTTCCCCTAGTTTTCTTCTTCTCATGGTCAAAGATTCCATGCCTGTTTACTATTACCAAACAGGAGCCAGGGTGGCGCAGTGGTTAGAATGTAGTACTGCAGGCTACTTCTGCTGAGCACCGACTGTCAGCAGTTTAGCAGTTCGGGTCTTACCAGGCTCAAGGTTGACTCAGCCTTCCATCCTTCCAAGGTTGGTAAAATGAGGACCCTGATTGTTGGGGGCAATAGGCTGACTGTAAACCGCTTAGAGAGGGCTGTAAAAGCACTGTGATATAAGTCTAAGTGCTGTTGCTATTGCTAAATCTTACTCATTTTAAATTTTTCTTTTGTATTTTGCAAATTTCCATGTTCTCTGGACTCTTCTACTTCATTCTCTTGACTACTGTTGCAGTTACAGATAAGCAGTTAAGTTAATTAAGGTATCTGTGATGAATTCTAGAGCAGTCACAGCTTAGGTTAGTATTACAAAACCTTTTTTTATTTCTCAAAAGGATATTTTACAGACTTAGGTGATCATGATGAAAGTGGACTTACTGTTTTCTTCAATTGTTTCAGAGTAAAAATTAGGGTAGAATCAGTAGAAGATGCTAAAATTGTGAGTTCTGAAATAGTGCCAAGATGGATTCTCTTCAAAGCATCTATCTGATCAAATTTCCCAAGTTTCTCCATTTCACACTTGAGTTGTGACTTCCAGCTGTCACAACTGACAGTAATTGCACCTTGTTTCACTTAAATGATGAGAGGCAGGTCCCGGTGTTTGAAAGATCTGTTTCTGTTTTACTAGAATCCAGAAGTCTATTAACGAGAAGAAAGTGTGAAAGAATGGCTTGTGGAAGATTCAATTATCAAGCATAGCAATCTTTGAGCTTTTCTTTTATAATAAAAGTATAATGATCTCTTGCAAAACGCTCAGATTTATCATCAAATCCAAACTGTATTCTGCCTCCTGCTTATCAAAATCTCTGTTATGTTGCTGTCGTCGGTTTTATAGCCTTGCCTTTGATTGCAAATAACAAGGGTTAAATAATACCAGAGCAATTAACTTTTGGTAGACTAATTTCCAGACTTAGGTGGTCACCTGAAATGTGCAAAGTTACTGTGATTTCCAGATTTGACTAGCAGGCAAGCAGAATGTGGCAAGTAAATCAAAATTTTAAAAAGGATTCAGCATTGAAAACATCATGTCCGCATGGGCAAACTTTCAAAATGAGGAAGATTGATAGGGCCTGTCGATTTTTTCAACTTTCAGTTTCCAAACATTAGGGGTGCTCAACAGTTGTGACATGCCTTGGGGATTGTAAAGATATTTGGGTAACTTCAGCTCTTGGTAGGTAACTACATACATATCATAACTTTTTAATATTTTGTTTGTTTCATTATCTTAAGTGCAGGTTCTGGTAGGTGCTCTGAAGGTTTCTGTCAACCAGACAACATACCCCTGACTAAGAAATTAATGCAATATAGATCAGGACTACTTTTATTGTAATAACTATAGTAATAATTTTGCATATCTGAATGGGCTTTCCCGGCCACCCCTTCTCACTTTTATTTTCCCATGAACCAGGGCGGGACTTGTCTGAGAAGTTTTCTCAAGCTATATTCTTGGCCTGGGCTCAAGTCCTGCCTATTTCACCGTTGTCTTGATAGTGACAATTGACTTGAGTCTTCCTCCTGTCATTTAAGGCCATCCCCTCTTCCTTCTCCTGTTTCAGGTTGCACCGAGTATTGCTTGGAAGAAGAAACAAGCTGATCCCGTGGGACTATATTTGTTCAGCCATTGTACTTGAGCAGGGGTGTCAAACTCGTGTCGTTCACAGCGTCATTACATGATGTATCGCGACTTCCCCCCCCCCCCTTCACTAAACAAGGCATGGGTGTGGCCAGCGCATGATGCATCTGGCCCGTGGGCGGCGAGTTTCACAGCCCTGTACTTAAGTATCTGGTTAATTGTACAAGAGCCAGGAAGTTTTTTAGCCTTTCAGCATCTTGACAGGAACGGCATCTTGTTCATTTCTTCCTTGAATTTGTGTGTTATCAGGTCACGTGATTCCCCCTGACAACATTTTACCCATCATCCTCTGCAATGGTCCGTCCAATCAGCTGCTGGAATTTACTTATGAGAAAAGAGGCTTGCCTCAATTGGTCAGTATTTATTTTCCACTACACTTCATTGCCTCCTCAGGCAATGGAGTTTCCTAGTTTTGAGTTCACTGAGTGAGCATATTGTCCCTTTGATCTTGCTTAGGCCCTTCCTGCTTGATTCCTGTCATCTCGGTTAAGACGGTTGCAAAGGAAACAGATCCTCACTGTGGTTTCCCTTGCAGTTAACCTGTTACTGGACTCCATAAGTCGCTCTCCTTGTAGCAATCTGATTTATTGTATTTCCAGGTCAAGGGAGAAGCCATCCCTAGAGTATTGAAGCATAGATGCTCACAAATGGGGAAAAAGGGAGCTTAGTGCTGTATAGAGTGCATTGGGAAGCCAGCGATAATATGAAGTTGTCCTTGACTTATGGTCATCTGTTTAATGACAGCTAGAAGTTATGACCTCAGGAAAAGTGATTTACAACCTGATATGACTGCTGCATCACCCTGGTGTGTGTGAGAGAGAGAGAAAGGGAGAGGGAGAGAAGGAGAGGTATGATTGCAATTCAGATGCTTGGAAACCAGCTCACATTTTTGATGGCTGCAGTATTTTCCAATTATTTGCAACCTTCCCAGAAAGATTCTGACAAGCCAAGTCAATTGGGAAAGTTGGATTCACTTAATGACTCTGGTAAAAAAGGTTGTAAACATGAGTGTGGTCACATGATGACTTGCTTTATGGCTGCATCACTTAACGACTGAAATTTCAGTCCCAATTTCAGTCATCAGTCAAAGGACTACATAGGGATTTCTCATCTTTGTTTTGACAGTTGGATCTGGGACTTTGAAGCAGATAACATATAATCAGAGTTGGAAGGGACCTTGTAGGTCATCTAGTCCAACCCCCTGCCCAAGCAGGAGACTCTACACCATTTCTGACAGATGGGAGTCCAATCTCTTCTTGAAGGCCTCAACTGATGGCACTCCCACAACTTCTGAAGGCAAACTGTTCCATTGGTTGATTGTTCTCACTGTCAGAAAGTTTCTCCTTATTTCCAGGTTAAATCTCTCCTTGTTCAATTTCCATCCATTATTCCTTGTCTGGCCTACAGGTGCTTTGGAAAATAGCTTGACCCTTTAGAAAACAGCTTGAAGTGGCAAAGCAGGCCACTTTTTCTTAGGATTAATTTCAAAAGCCTTCTGAAAGAGATCAGCGCAGACCTCTGAGGAGACTCATCTGCTCCTTCCTAGAAGCCTGTAATTGTGGGAAAGAAGGAACCGAGCAGAAAAAGAGAGAGGAAAGACGGTGCTGGAAAGAGTAGGATATCCTGTGACACCAGATTCGGAACCCGCTTGCTCCAGATTTGCCTATCCTGTATCCCACAACTGATTCACTCTAAGCATAAGAGTACAGCCTTTGGGTTCGTGAACTCCCTTCCGGCCCAGACCATTCAGTCCCAGGAAGGAAGGTTGTGCTCTCAGCCCTTGATAGAAGAAAGGTTTTCTTTCATGGCTGAAGAAAGAAATTGCTGGTTTTCTCCCATTTTTCAGATGGAGGAGACGGGGCGGATTCTTTCTAACTTGTGCAACGTTGTTCCAGGAGGTGTGGTGTGTTTCTTCCCTTCCTATGACTATGAAAAACAGGTATACTTGCACTGGGAAAAGACCGGATTGCTTGCCCGGCTGGCGACTAAGAAAAAGGTAATTTGGTAGCCCAGTGCTGCTGGTGACATCAAACATTCGGGAATATTGGTTGGTTCCTCTCCTCTAGTTTTGTTGTAGGTATAGCAATAGCACTTAAGACTTATATACCGCTTCACAGTGCTTTTACAGGCCTCTCTAAGTGGTTTACAGAGTTAGCCTATTGCCCCCAACAATCTGGGTCCTCATTTTACCCACCTCGGAAGTGTGGAAGGCTGAGTCAACCTGGAGCCTGGTGGGATTTGAACTGCCAAATTGCAGGCAGCTGGCAGGCAGCAGAAGTAGCCTGCAGTACTGCACTCTAACCACTGTGCTACTGAGGCACTAATGCCTCATACTGGTCCTGCTGCCTGCACAGTGAAGTGGAGAGGGCCAATCCTTACCTATTGACCTAGCCGTGATACTTGCTGGGTGGCTGATGATGATACTTGAACCATAAAGGTTAAATATGGCTTCATCATTTCCTAAAGCTAAGAAGAGAGTATGGCTTATTTGTGTAGGAAATAGGAAAAAATCGTACAAGCCAACCTGAAATTTGGCTGGGGGCATCACCAAGCCAGCCTTGGACTGTTCAAAAAAAGGAAAGTAGGGCCAGTTATAATTAGCTCTTGGATGGGCAAAATCCCTGGGATGTTTGGCCAGACTGGGAAGTTGAAAAACATTCAAGAAGGTTACTACTTTCACAGGTTTCTAAGAAATTCTAATGAACCTCAGCACCATCAGCAATCAAGATTGACTTAAGAGAATCTTTATCTTTGGTCATTATGATTATTCCTTACAAATTGAAAATTAGCATGCTGTAAATTGGAAAATTAAAATCCAGCATTTCCATTTCTCCTTTTGTAGGCACACCAGTTGTGGCAAAAACTACAATAGCCAGGAGCCCGAGTGGCTTTTTAGTGCCTTAATGATCTTGAAACGTGGGCAAAAAAGTGTGAGAACAGGGTTGAAGTAATAATATGAACCTAGCTAGATCTGGCCAACGGTTCCTCAAGGAGCATCCTATGTCCTCATGTGGCCAGTTAGATACGTTTCAGGAAGCTCACAAGCATGGGCAGCAAGGCAATCCTCCTTTTGCCATTGTGATTTCCCAGCCACCTGTATTGAAGGCACGCTGCCCATTAGTAATAATAAACCTAGAGAGGTGGGGGAGAATGCATCATCCATTACTCCTCAATGTCCATTAAGACCCAAAGTGTGACATTCCCATGACATCATGACCCAAATAACCCTCATCTTGTCATCTGCATCAAGTAAGTTCATTTGTCATAATATCTGCATATTCAACTTTAATGTAAGACTAGATGACTTCAGATGCAGGAGGCAGTTCTGTTATTTTAGAAGGATGTTTGGATGGAAATTCTGTCCGTTGTATCCAAAGTTTGCTAAATGGGGATCCTTTAAGTCAGTGTTCTTTAGTTTTGGCAATTTAAGGAGTTAGATTCCCAGAATTTTCCAACTAGCATGCTGAGGAATTCTCTGGGGGTTCAAGTCCACATACCTTAAGTTTCCAGTTTTGAGAAAAACACAACTCCCGGGATCTTATATTCACATGGTGCGAATGATGTTCTCCTGTAATTAATGTACGATGGCATTTACAGATATTTCAGGAACCCAAGAAGGCTAACCAGGTGGAGCAGGTCTTGGCAGAATACGCCAAGTGTATCAAGGTACGAAACAGAAGATTGGAAGATTATTGAGCAGTTGGGAAGAGGTAGTAAGTTGATTGTAGAGATACTCCAACTTTTAACCATGCATTGCGGACTTACTTTGACACAGCGCTGCAACCTAACAGATGGACCCATGACAGGAGCACTGCTGTTTTCTGTAGTCGGTGGGAAAATGAGCGAAGGAATTAATTTTTCGGATGACCTGGGAAGGTAAAAATTACTGCTTGTGCTTGGGGGTAGTGGTGGCGGAATTATTCACTGGAATATTTTATATTTAGAATTTAGAGAGTTATGAAATATTGATGGGAGTGAGGGCAGCACACTAAGGTTTGAGCTAATACAAACCAAAGTCTTAATTTTGGGAAAGGCCATTCAAATGCTGATTTGGGGGCTTAGCTTTTAGCACAGGGCTTTTGACTTTAATGAGACATATTCCCCATTGTGCAACAGACTTGAAGGCCAAAATAGAAGATACTAAGATGAGAGGGGGGGAGGAAGACAGAGAGAGGAAACTTGTATGGCAAGTGGGCAAAGCTGTCACTTCTTTCTTCAAGGCAAATTTGCTGTTTCATAAATGTTCCACTTTCCTTTTTTAACACCAGTGTTATTCCTCCCACCTAATTGCCTTCACAACCTGCTTGTGACAATATGGGGCAGCTGATATGCAGCCACAGCTTTCTCTCATCCTGCATGTCAAGCTCAGCTGTCCAACTAAGGCAGGTGCAGAAAGCAGGGTGGGAGGGTTTTGTAAATTGCGATGCCTAACCACGCTTTCAAAGCCAAAGCAATTTCTTCTTACAAATGAATGCGAAATGAAACAGGCCTCTTCTCATTCGAATAAAGCAATAGTTATCCAAAAAGAGGCCTGGGCTTTGTACCATAAACTCTACCTCTTGGAGGCCAATTTGTATGCAGAATATTATTCCCAAAGGGCTTTCCCCCCCACATTTTACTTAAAGCTCTCTCAAATTGCTGTTTAAGATTCCAAGGGTAAAAATATTAGGCTATGTTGAATGCACTTGATATACCAGCCTGTCCATTGCAGGCGCCTTAGATTGAAATTGTAATCTGTTTTTAAAAAGGCAATTTTACCCACTAATCAAAAATGGTGCAGTGTGTTTCTCCTTGGCATAGGTTTTGACCTTACTTGGTCAAAATAGTGGGATTTTTTTGTTGTTGTTTCTTTTCTTTAGCTTAGAGAAAGCTTTATACACTGGATATTGCTTTATATGTGACATGCTTGGATTATAAATTACTCTGATTGTGTTTCTGAGTTTCTTTTCTTCCTATTTTTGTGTGTCTTTTTTGTAAAACATATAAAATAAAATTACATGGGAGAAAAAATAACCCCCCTTAAATTGAAAGGGTCTATTTGGCATTGCAGGATTATTAATTATTATTAACCACTGAGTCTGGGGCACAGTGGTTAGAGTGCAGTACTGAAAGCTACTTCTGCTGCAGCCAGCTGCCTACAATTTGGCAGTTCAAATCCCACCAGGCTCAAGGTTGACTCAGCCTTCCATCCTTCCGAGGTGGGTAAAATGAGGACCCAAATTGTTAGGGGCAATAGGCTAACTCTGTAAACCGCTTAGAGAGGGCTATAAAGCACTGTGAAGCGGTATATAAGTCTAAGTGCTGTTGCTATTAAGCAACAGCTATTAAATAACTGGGTGATTTATGCGTTTCTTATTTTTCCTCGTTTTCTCTTTTCCTAGGTGTGTAATTATGGTAGGCATGCCCTACCCCAACATAAAATCTCCAGAACTTCAGGAGAAAATGGCTTACTTGGATAAAACAATGGTAAAAGGTTCTTTGGATTCTA